ACCTCATGCAATCAGAGCTTCCAAGGTTTTCATTCTACGCTCTCTCTTCTAGGCAGTTTCTGCCACTGCCTTGTACAGCTTTCCTTGTGGATTTCCCTTTTCCATTGTGCCTAACTCACAAAACAATACTAATTATTGCAGGTATCAAAGAGGATACTACTGCATGGTCATGCCCCTTCCCCACCACATCCCTGTTTATGTAGCCTACCACTGATCTATACTTTCTTCCTCATTACCTCTCCCTTCAACAATTACCTCAAAATCTGCTCCCTGGGTCCATGCTCTCCCATTTTCCCCGGCTCCAGTTGTTCCAACTTGTGCCCCTTCCTGAAGTAGCACAAGAAGTTTTTTTTCAAGCAACAAATCCCCCAGGCCACACCCAACACAAGGTCCCCAACTCCCTTCATAGATTATCTCACTTCACCTATAGGAGCATTCATCATTGGAACATCTTCCCACTCCAAAGCTAGGCCTTCTTTCTTTCCCCAGCTTTTCAATCATTCCCCCTTCCTCCTCACTCACTCCCTTATAGGTCCTTCTCTTTCTGAGGCCACAGGGGTCACTTTCCTCTCATTGATAGCCCTTAATTTGATCCTAGTACATCACACATTCCTTTCTATTCCCCTGTTCTTCTTCCATCCCCTTTCATATTCCTCCCATGTTGTAATGTAGTCTCACACACAAACACATTGATTCACCTGTAGGTACAGTGTTGCCAGATTCTGTCTATACTGCCCCATGCTTGCTTCTTCACTGTGATCTCTGTTAGAGTTACACCTTCACTCTTGTGTCCTGTACATTTAGAAAGCAATTTCTTACTAGTTTCTCTGCTGTCACTCTGTTACTGTTGCTGTCCTTGGCTGCTGTATTCATTCCTTCCTGTGTTTCTGTTGTTTGGGATGTTTGAGAAGCAAATGATCTCTTGAGTTCTGGGTCTCTTTCTAAAAATGTTTCAAACTTCTCTTTATTTTCAAACATCCATCTTTTTTAATGTACGGTTAAGCTCAGATTTGCAGGGTAGGTCAAACTGGGCTGCATCCTGAGCTCCATTTCTCTTCTGAACATATTCCATTCCCTCCTGTATCTTCTAGTAGTACATAACAATTGCATTATTAGACTTTCCTTTCCTTTGTATTTGAAGGTCTTTCACCTGATCACTTGTGGACTTGTTTCTGAATAAAATTGTTAAATTTAACTACTATATCTTGGAATTTGCAGTCTTAGTTCTTTTTCTTTCTGGAGGTGATCTGTGAATTCTTTTAATTTGCATTTCATATTCTATGTTTGGAAGTTCCCTTCTGGGGAGTTCTACTATTTCCTGCATTCTGGTGTTAGGGTTTTTTGTGTTCTTCGGGGAGACATATGATTCTTAGGTTGTTTCTACACATTCTGGTTTTTGTTTTTGTTTTTGTTTTTGTTTTGGCTAGGCAATGAGGTTACGTGACTTGCCCAGAATCACACAGCTAGTAAGTGTTATGTGTCTGAGGCCGGATTTGAACTCAGGTCCTCCTGACTCCAAGGCTGATGCTCTATCCACTGTGCCACCTAGCTGCCCCCACATTCTGTTTTCTTGATCAGTATATTTTACTTGCATAGTGAGCATTTTTTAAAATATTATTCCTTTTTATTTCTCTCCTTCTGGATTGTCCTTCACTTCTATATATTTGCATTCCCAATCTCTTGTTCTCTCTTGTCTTTCTTTTGATGAGACTTGTAATTGCAGGTTCCAATTTTTCCATTCTGCCCATTAGTTTTGCTGTGCAGGCCATAAATTTTGCCCTCCTAATTCTTATTTCTCTTTTGAAACACTCAGGCATAGTGTGTTGTAGTTCCATGTTTTCTTCACATTCCACAGGGTCTTCTCTCTAGTCGAGTGTTGGATCACAATTTCCCTCTCTTTTGCAATATTTATTCATAGATATGAACTTGTTTACTATATCTAGAGGCCATATTTCTTCCTATTATTAATGTTTTTCCTATTGACTTATCTGCTTGTGTTAAAAACTCTGAGTTTTCTTCTTCCTAAGATCTTTGGTAATTTTAGTCTTCTTCTCTCTCTCATTTTCCCTATCACTCACTTTTCAACTCTGTCCCCTCTGATGGTAGTTTCCTTGGGAGATGATCTCAAACCATCTCAGCCTCTTCCTGCACTGGGCAATACACAGTTCACGAGCCTGGGTCTCTGCCCCAAGTGACTTTTGGGTGGTCAAAACTGTTCCCAGATGAGGACTGTGATCTTTCCCTCAGGCTTAGTGGAGTGCTACACCACTCTCATCCCCCATCCCACCCACCCCACAAACTATTCTGTTTCCTCCATTCCTTAGTTCTCTGATACAGTACTGGCAGTTCAGAGCTTTGCAGCACTGGTGCTATAGGGTTATGATCCCTTTTTGTCTGTCTTAGCCCAGGAGAACTTCCACAAGCTGGAGCTGGGGTTTCCATAGCACTGGAAGATGGAAGCGGGAATGGAGATGTGGCAGTAGATCCTTGGGTCTACTAGTGCAGCCTAGATGCTGGTATTGTGGGGTGTTAGGGAGGGGTGCTGAATGAGCTCAGTATTGGCAAGTATCAGTTCATGGCGGTTTTTTAACCTTCTTTTGGATTCTGCTTGTCCTAGACTACTGAGACAGCTATTGTTGCTTTATCTTTGGCACATAATTTCTGTTTTGGAGAGGTTTGAGAGGTCATGGGGATCTTAGAAAATTTCTAGGTTTCCATTTTGTTACTCACATGACCTAGAAGATGTTGTCTCCTCCTTTTACTTGATTCAGCCTACTGCTTCTTTCACCTCCTTCCACCCCACCCTTCAACTCCCACTGCTGTCTTAGGGCTGGGGAAGGATCAGGAGTCCACCTGGGGCAGGGGTGGGGAACCTGTAGCCTCAAGGCCACATGTGGCCCTCTAGGTTCTCAAGTGCAGCCCTGTAACTGAATCCAAACCTCACAGAACAAATCCCCTTAATAAAAGGATTTGTTCTGTAAAACTTGGACTTAGTCAAAAGGCTGCATCCAAGGACTTAGAAGGCCACATGTGGTCCCAAGGCCACAGGTCCCCCATCCCTGGTATAGACTCAGCATTAAGTGGAGTGTGCTCTAACAAGATCAGTTGAGGAAGGGCTGCTGTTGACTCACTCTCAACCCAGCCCCTCCCCCACTTCATATTACACTTGCAATAGCTATCTTGTTGGGCTGTGTTGAGGATACTCTTTTCAAACCACTAAGCACAATAGACATGAGATTGTTATTGTTGTTTTTGTTACTGTCATTAATATGGTGAAGGCCACCAGATGCCCCTATTTGTGGATGGTTTTGCATCAGTAGCTGTCAATCCTGAAAACACTATATAATGGGTCTTCTTCAGTGAGATCCAGAGCCACTTAAGAGAGTCAGTCTAATAATCTGCACAGGGAAAGCCAGATGAAAACCATGTTGTAGTATGGTATCATAGAATGAGTGCTAGATTTGGAGTCAGAAGACTCAAATCCTGGCAGCTAGGTGGCTCTGAGCCTGGAGTCAGAAAGACCTGGGTTCAAATCCAGCCTCAGACACTTACTAGCTATGTGACCCTGGGCAAGTCACTTAACCTTTGTCTGCCTCAGTTTCCTCAACTGTAAAATGGGGATAATAATAGCACCTACCTCCCAGGATTGTTGTGAGGATCAGATGAGATCATATTTGTAAAGCTCCTGGTACACTGTAGGTACTTAATAAATGCTTGTTTGTTTCTTTGTTTGCTTCTTCCTTTATTACTTAGTTCCTGTGTGATCTTGGGCAAGTCACTTAATTTCTGTAGGCTTCAAATTTTCTCATCTGGACAGGATGACCCCTTAAGACCCTTCCAATTCTATCTAAATCTCTGATCCTATGAACAGTGCATATTGCCCCATATTTGTGCCAAGCAATCAGTTCAGCAACTCATTAAGTTAAATGATTGGTACATATATCTTGGATAGACATTGAAGACGGACAATTAACCAGGTTCTAAATTGAATAGAGGTAAAGTAGGCTAGATAATATTTGTGAAACTACAAGATTGTAATTGTCTCAAGTTGCTCTCTGCTGCCCAAACACATCATTTTAAAAAAAAACACACAAACACCATCAATATTCTCCCAGTGATGTATATACAATCATGAATCATTGAATAGGAGTCAATAGTGAATAGTGAATCATGAAATAGAAGAAGAATCAAAACTACCGGAGATCCAGAAGTAATGTAGAGGTGTACAGTAGGTTACATCTAGGCTGCAGCACATTATCACAGGTGACTTTCCTGCAAGAGTTGGCATAAAAAGGGTATCATCACTTGCAATGACGGGTAGCCAGAGGGAAAATAAGCAATGACAGATTGGGTAACCACAAAGCATCCGGAGTTCAAGGAAGGCCTCCAGAACATTAGGCAGGTGATGGAGGTGGCCCCTTCCAGCTCTGAATCTATGATGCTCTCCCTAACAAGGACAACAATTACCCAAGATGAGGAGGGAGGTAACACACATAAGGATGAAACCACAGATCCTCTGCAATAGCATTACAATCTAGTTGTACACGAGGCAGCAAAGTGGCTTAACGTCTAGAATGCTGGAGGAGTCACGAAGACCAGAGTTCAAAGCCTGCCTTAGACATTTACTAGCTGGGTGACCCCGGGCAAATCCACCTCTCTCCGCCTCAGTTTCTTCAACTACAAAATGAGGGTCAAAGAATATATGTCCATATGACCATATGTGTCACTGGAAGTCCTTAGAACGGATAAGATGTTGTCTCCCATTCAGAAATCCTCCCAGATCCACCAGCCTACTGACCCAATTGGAGCCGGGAGCTTTCTGAGAGCAAGCTCCAGCTCCCTGATAATGTTTCACCACGCTCTTGCTTCCTCTCCAGAAACTACACCCCCCACAATGCTCCTCACGTTCCTCGGCCCCAGTGGGCGATGCTGATTGGTCAGAGGTTTCATCTTGCCCCGCCCCTTCCCCCAGGCGCGGCTACTTCCCATTGGCTGTGCATGGGCGCATGTGGCCAGGTGGCAGTAGCTGCGGCGGCTTCTTGGAGGTAAAGCTCGGGGCTTGCTGGGGGGCGACCCTGTGGTCTCTTGGTCTCTGTCCACCCTAGCTAGACTCGGCCTCCTGGGTCCTGGGACGAGCAGGAGCAGGTCTCGTTCTGTCTGGCGCTTTAGGGGAGGAGAGGGCGCAGCCCGGGAAGGGACTCTGCTGAGAGCTTCCCAGGGAGGGCGGGCGTGGGGTACAGGAAAGAGGGTTAGATGATCGATCCATCCTCCGGCTTCCTAATGGAGGACGAGGGGTTCTCGGGGGCTAGGGGAGCTGGTACCCAAGGTCTCCTCCAGCTGCCGTGAGCTTGTTGGAGGAGGTAACGTGTATGAAAGTCGGTCTCAGTCACGTGTATGTGTCCCCCAACCCCGCCTTTCCCCCGCCCCGCCCCGTCCCGTCCAGGTGAGCCCCATGGAGTCCCATCTGGAGGCGGAGGATGTGGCGCAGGAGTTCGTGACCTTTCTGAACCAAGGGACCCCGCCAGACATCCAGGCAAAGGCAGCCCGCTATGTGCTGGGACTGACGGGGTCCGAACCTGGCCGGTCACTGCTGACAGCACAGAAAGGGCTGCTGCAGGCATTAGCAAAACTCTTAGAGGCCCCTCCTGGGACAGCGGCAGGGGCGGTGGGAGATGCCTGGCGGGCACTGGTGAACCTGTGTGCAGAACCCAGTATCCACGGCTCTCTGCTGGCTGCACTGCCTGGGCTGCCAGTCCAGCTACTGGCCCGGGCACTAGCCCCAAACTGGCCCTGGGCTGGAGAGGCAGCCGCTGCGCTGGCCAACCTGAGCCGGGAGTCAGGGCCCGCCAGGGAGCTGTTGGCGGAGAGTAGCTTGGAGTCCACCAACGACGAGGCAAATCAGGAACCCAGCCTGGCCCGCCTTGTGACTGCCTTGACCACCCCAGACTATAACCCCCATGCCCCACTCCACTACCTGGCATCAGTGCTCTCCAACCTCAGCCAACTACCAGGAGCACGGGCCTTCTTGCTGGATCCGAACAGGTGGGGGAAGAGGAGGAGGAAAGCTGGAAGTTTGAATCCCTGGAGAGGGTTAGGGAGGAGGTGGGGCCCCTGTGGGCGCGCTGGGAAAGCATTCCGGTGAAGAGGTGAGGGAAGGTCTGCAGCTGTTAATTTAGACTCCTATTGCTGCCTCCCTACCCCCACCCCCCCAGCATAGCTGTGCTTATAATAGTTGTTAACTAAATTTGTTTGTGAATTGTGTGGATGTGTTGGGAGGTGGGGAATGTAAATTACTGGAAAAGGAGGTGAATGCATCCTTGTCCTGGGGGGGCCATCCTCTGTCTTCCTAGGTGTCTGATCCAGCATCTCCTGCCCCTCATCCACTGCCCAGACTCTGCTGTTCGAAGGATGGGGGTGGTAGGCATGCTGAGGAACTGCTGCTTTGAGCACCGTGAGTAGCTCAGAGGTTTAAAGGGAATCAAGGGAGGAGAAAGAGGGGAAAGGGGGGATCAGGGTGCCTCATAGGATCCCCATTCCTCTAGGTTCCCATGAGTGGCTCCTGGGTCCCCAAGTAGAGCTGCTTACCTTCCTGCTGATGCCACTGGCTGGCCCAGAGGAGTTCTCGGAAGACGAGATGGATCGTGAGCAGGGCTGGTGGTGGCAGTGGGGATGGGGAGGGGGTGTTTCTGGGGACTTTGTTAGAGCCCTGAGGATCCTGCAGTGTTAGAACTAGGAGTCCTTAACCACATTGAGTATCCCCAAAGAGGTTTGGAGCAGCTGGGTGGTGCAATAGATGTAACTGTGGGCCTGGAGTAGGGAAGACCTGAGTTCAAATCCAGCCTTAGACACTTACTAGTTGAGTGACCATGGGGAGTCACTTACCCCTGTTTGCCTCAGTTTCCTCATCTGTAAAATGGAGATAAGAACAGCACCTACCTCATAGGGTTGTTATGACAATCAAATGAAATATTTGTAAAGTGCTTAGCATAGTGCCTGGTACATATTTACTACTCAATAAATGCTTATTATTGTGGTGTCGTTCCCCCCCAGAAAAAAGAGGGAAACTAAGACCCAGAGAGGGTAAGGGACTTGCCCTAGGTCCTTAAGTGAGCCAGGGTCAGAGGCTGGACTGGAATCTTGGTGTCCTGGCTATTGGCCAGGCCTCTTGTGTCCCTGACATGGGAGACTTGGGGTACATCCAGAAAGTCAGATCCATGGCCTCCCCAGGATTGCCAGTAGACCTGCAGTACCTGCCCCCAGACAAGGAGCGTGAGCCAGATCCTGATATTCGAAGGATGCTCATTGAGACCATTATGCTGGTGAGTGGGGGCAAGTCATAGGGGCCCCAGGGATCTGCCTGAATCCTTCCCCCTTCCCCTGCCTGGTAAGACTGGTTCCCCTAACCTTCCCTGCCTCCCTATAGCTCACAGCCACTGCTCCTGGACGGCAGCTGGTGAAGGATCAAGGGGCTTACCTGGTGCTTAGGGAGCTGCATAGCTGGGAACGTGACCCTAACGTCCGGCTGGCCTGTGAGAAACTCATTCAGGTAAGTGGGAGGGACAGAGATGGTCTAAGAGCTCATCTTCATCTCTTCAGGCTTTTGTGTGTTTCCCTACCTTCCCTTTACTCCCTGCCCTCAAGTCAGTACGGTTTGAGTGTTCTACCCCATGGCTAATGCTTTCTCCCTTCCAAGTTCTTTAATCAGGTCTGAACCCCTTAGAGCAAGCCTGCACGACATACTTCCCGTGGGCTGCTTGTGTGGGTGGCATGTTGTGAAGACCTCTTTTACATCTTCTACATTTTTTGAGGGCTGCCCAAAATCCTCTGGTGGGCCACAAGTGGTGCATGGGCCATAAGCAATGTGTGGACCATATGTTGTGCAATCAGTCAATAAGCATCTGTTAGGCCCCTACTATATGCCAGGCATTGTGCTGGGCTCTATGTGTTCAGTGACTAAAATGAAACAGTCCTTACTTGTGAGGATCTTATAGTCCAATGGGAAAGACAACAAGGACACATACAAATACATATGTAATAAATATAAAATGAATAAATACACATATGTGCAAAGTTAAATGTAAGATGATTTTGGAAGTATGGCACTCGTAGTTGTGGGAATCAAAAAAGGCTTCATGCAGAAGGAAGTGCTTAAGCTTTGATTTGAGGGTTCTTTGGGAGGGAAGGTTCTTTGAGGCAAAGTTGAGAAAGGAGTTGTTTCCAATTGTGGGGGAGACAGCTAGTGCAAAAGTACATTGGGAGATGAAATGGAGGAGAAGGGAAAAGATGAGGTCAAAGAGTATGAGAGGGAATCTCCAATAAGACTAGAAAGATGGATTGGGACTAGGTTGTGAAGAGTTTTAAAAGCTATACAGAGGTCCTAGAGGTAATAGGGAGCCACTGGAGTTTATTGAGCAGAGGAGTGATGTGGTCTTAAGTACTTAAAGAAAACTACTTTGGCAGCTACTTGCAGGATAGACTGGAGTGGTGGAGATTTGAGACTGGGAGACTAATTAGGAGCTTGTTGCAGTAATCAGGGAGAAGTGATGGGAGTCTGAATGTAGGTGATAGCTTTGTGAGGGGAGAAAGGGGGAATGATGCAAAGCAATGTAAAGGTAGAAATGGCAGAATTTTGGCATCTCATTCAGTATACGAGGTGAAGAATAATGAGGTGTCAAAGAGGTTAACCTTGGAGACTGGGTGGTGGTGCCTTTTATAGAAATAGTGAGGGGCAGCTAGGTGGCACAGTGGATAGAGCACCGGCCCTGAAGTCAGGAGGACCTGAGTTCAAATCCAGCCTCAGACCAACACTTGACACTTATTGCTGTGTGACCCTGGGCAAGTCACTTAACCCCAATTGCCTTAACAACAAAACAAAACAAAAACAAAACAAAACATAGAAATAGTGAAGTCTGAAAGCGGGGAAGGTTTGGAAGGAAAGATGAGTTCAGTTTTGGATGTGTTTCTGGGACATCCATTTTGAAATGTCCAGTTGGCCATGCGGAATGAAATTCAGGGGAGAGACGAGGATATGGAAATACAGACGCTGGATTTGTAGATCTGTGAGTCACTTTCGTGGAGATGATTAAGTTTTTGGGAATTCATGAAGTTCCCAAGGGGGAGAGTATAGAGAAGAGGACCTTAGGGAATGTTCACAGTTAGGGGGCATGATATGTAGGATGAGCCCCCAAAGGAGACTGAGAAGAAGAGGTCAGACAGGAGAGTAATGTCATGAAAACCCAGAAAGGCGAGTGTCCAGGAGGAGAGGGCAGAGTGTGTCAGATGCAGCAGAGGTCAAGAAGGTTGAGGAATGAGAAGAGATCATCAGATTTGCCAGTTACGAGGTTGTTGGTCACTTTAAAGAGAGCAGTGTCAGTTGAGTGGAGAGTTCGGAAGCCAGATTGCAAAGAGTTGAGGAGTGAAATGAGAGCAGGAGCAGCAAGTGTAGACAGCTTTTTCTAGGAATTTGGTTGACAAAGGGAGGAGAGACATGACAGTAGTCTGAGGGGATGGTAGGGTCCAGTGAAGGTTTATTTTTTTTGAAGGGGGAAAGAATTGGGCATGTTTGAAGGCAGTAGGGAAGGAGCCAGGAGATAGGGAGAGGTTGAGAGAGAGATCTGCTGAAGAATACGGGCGGCAATGGAAATGGGCCTGTGGGCATAGTTGTGGTAGAGGAGTTGGTCTTGGCAAGGAGACGAGCCCCTTCATTGTCAGAGACTTGGGGAGTGGAAAGTAGAATGGGGAAGGATGTCAATTGCTTTTGAGATGAAGAGAAGGGGAGAAAAGGGAGCTTACGTGAAATGGTCTCAGATTTTCTCAGTAAAGTAAGAGGCGAGGTCTGCAGCTGAAAGGGGAGAAAGGGGACTTGTGGGAAGCTTGAAGAGGAAAAAGAAGGTTTGGAACAAATTCTGTGGGGAGATAGGGAATCAGTGAGGGAGGAATAAAAGTGCTGCCTTGTTACAGTGTGGGCCCAGCTGAGTTTGAATAACATGAATTTCTAAAGCACTTAGTCCTGAACCCATGAGATCCCTTTTTCCTGTGCCTGGGCAGGTGCTGATTGGGGATGAGCCAGAGGCAGGCATGGAGAACCTGCTAGAAGTGAGTGTTCCCCCAGATGTAGAGCAGAGGTTGCAGCAACTGGACCAGCAAGAGCAGCAGCAGCTTCAGCAGGAGCGAGAAGAGGCAGTGCAGAGCCCTAGCAGGCTGGATGGCTTGGGACCTAGCTGATGTCTTCTGCCCAGACTAGGGGCCCTGGACCCTCCCCATCCCCCCTTGTCCCTTGATCACAGGGATCTTGTGACTGGTAGACACAGGTGAGCTTGGTGTCCAGGCTGCTAGGCTGCTGTGCTCGATAAACCAGCCTTCTTTCACTTCAGTCTTTCTTTTCTTGGATGGGCAAAGCCTGGATTCCATCAGACTCTCCCTACTGCCTCTGCCTCCCCACTTCATCTTGATGAGAATCTGGTAAAGTAACTCCTGCCCCAAGCCAGGTGTTAGGAATGAACTGTGAACACTCCTGGGGTGCTTACAGTTTGAGGTGTCCTGGCTGGGTGGTTAAAAATTCAGTCCCCTGGAATGAAGCTGTCATAGTGCACCTTCAGGCACACGACCATTGGCTAGGCCTGCCTCAGAGGCTTCCCATTCTTTTGGAGAGCTCTTTGAGTCAGAAAGTTTTTCCTTACCAGAAGCTGGAGTTTGCCTCTCTGTACCTTCTCACTGTGCCAACGTTGCCCCTCATTCTGGGGCCAAGCAGAGCAAGGCATTTTTGTGACACCTCTTTGAATATTGACAGTTCTAATGTCATCGTTGCTGCTGTTGTCTCCCTCCTCCCCACCTGGTTTCTTTCACCAGTTCCTACGTCATGGTCTCCAGACCTTTAGCTGTCCTGGCAGACCTCCTCTTCAAGGGTCTCAGTTCGTTAATGTCCTTTGTAAAACGTAGTGCTCAAATCTGAACACCAAAGGTGGTCAAAGTAGAAGAGTAGCCAATAGGGCCAGCACCTCCCTGGTCCTGGACACTGGGCCTTTATCAATACAGCATTCCATGTCACACTATTGATTCATATTCCCAAATCTTTACATACATTGTTGGCTTAAATCCATGCCTCTTCCTCCTCCCTCATCCCTCCCTTCCTCCTCTGTGTGGTTGATTTTTTTGAGCCCAAGACTAGGAGTTTACATTTATTCCTATTAAACGTCCTGTTGATTCAGTTCATTCTTCCAACCTTTTCAAATCCCTCTCAGCCACATCATCATCATCATCATCATCTCTAAGTCGGATCGACATTGCTTCTATGGCTTCATCTAGATGATTGGTTAAAAATGTAGAACAGCATGAGACCGAGAACATGAGCTTTCCCACAGTGACCACGATCCCATTAGTCACTGCTCTTGGTCTGGTTGTTCTACTGGTTTGAATCTCCTAGCTATGCTATTGCCCATCTCAGGTTTGTCCATGAAAATAATGCAAAAGACTTTGTAAAGTGTTTTCCTGGAATCCAGGCATAATTTGGGGGGTCTCAGAAGTTTTCATGCAGTTTTAAACTTAGTACAACTTTAGTAGCTTAAAACTGCATGAAGATTTTTTGGGATCCCTGTACTATGTCCTTACCTTTCCCTGACTTACCAGTCCAGTAATCCTATTGAAAATGGAAATGAGGTTAGTCCTATACAACCTTTTCTGGATGAACCCATGCTAGTTCTTGGTGCTCACTACTTTTCTCTCAAGTGCCTACAAAATGATGTGCTATTAGAATTAACAGGAGAATATCACTTCTGAGAACTTTGTGGAAGGCTTCATGGGAGGGAGGGCTGTTGTGGTTTGGGGAGGTCCATCTAGGCAGGCTTTGGTGTTCATTCCTACTACTCTGATTTTCTGAGGAGATTGCATGTGAGCTGGGCCTATGTCTGATTAGAGCCTTTCCTAAGTTAGAGGGAGACTGCCTCTCCTTTCCCTCCCATTGTCCCCCCAATTCCTGGTCCAGGGCAGGGCACACAGAACGCCATGTGCTGCTTCCCACCAGCCCTCCCCAGAGACATCTCCAGCAGCTCTGACAGAATAAATACTTTATCTGGCCCTTGTCCCCACTCCCCTTACCCAATCCAACCCCTTCCCTCAGTTGACCAGGCGGTGCAGGGGGGTTTTCCGAAACACAAACATGGAGTAGAGGGCCAGAATCTGTCGGGAGGCACTGGTCCCAGCGAGGCTGCCCCCTGTAGGGTCCCGGGATCCCATTCCCCCCCAGTATGGCAAGTTCCCAGTCTTGTGGAAATTAGGCTTCAGGCTGGCCAGTATGCTAGGCCGACCCATTGATAGAGGGCGAGTGGGTGGGGATGCAGGGCCAGGACCCGGACCTGGACCCAAAGGTTGTGCCTGCTGGGGAGATGGCAGCTGGAAGAGGGAACTGGGTGGCCGGATCAGGGCCATTGCTGACAGCTCGCTTGTTGGGGCCTGTTCAGGGCTGGCTTCAGAGGGCCCCTCGAGCATCCTTATGGTTGCAGGGGTCAGGGCTCCTGCTTCCTGGTCCTGTGGTTCAGATCCCTCCAATTCCTCTATAACACAGAATGGGAATGAGGGGCTGCCCTGGGTGACAGGGTCAAGGTTAAGGAAGGGGGGGCACCTAGGAAAGAAGGATTTGGCTTTTGGGAGGAGGAGCCAGAGGAATAGAGGCAGCTCAGGAGGTTCTGGCTTAGAGGGCAAGAGGGCATCTGCTATGGGCAGAGGGGAGTTCTAGCTCTGGGCTCAGGAAGTGAGGGTGTGGGAGAAGTTACCTGATGCCAGATCACTCTTCAGGGATTTCTCCTCAGTCCCTGGCATTGCACTGAGCACATTGTGGAACAGGGCATGGGATGCAGGCAGCATCCAGCAGTGGGAAGCCACCTGCTGTAGGCCCAGCCGGGCTCTTGGCCGCAATTGGAGCAGACCTTGGATCAGGTCCTGGCACTCTGGGTGGGGGAGGTCCGGGGAGAGGAAAAGTGGAATGTTGGGGTGGGAACGTCACGCCTTTGGCAGGATTGGCTCCCTTTCTCTTCCTGGCCTCCCCTCCCACACCACCATCATCACTGTGGCCAGTCCACGCATTCCTGTGCACCTCCTTCTGCCCCCCAGCTCCCTGCCTCCAACCTGGGTGGGCAAGAAGGGAAGGACTTATGAGGTAGAAAGGACGTTAGAGCCTCCTCTTAATTCAGCTCCCTTACTTTGCTGAGGAGGAAAACAGGTCTGGAAAAGAGGACCGTCTTGCCTCAAGTCACATGACTACCGAGTGGCCGAGACCAGATTTAAACTAAATCCCCTCTCTCTGAATTCATTAAAGCCAGGTTACCTTGGGACAGGCTGGGCCGGAAGGCCAGACTCTGACGCATGAGGTGCAGCATTTTATGGGGTTGTCTCTCCTTGAAGGGCAGCTTCCCTGTCACCATGGCGTAGAGGATCACGCCACTGTACAAGGACAGACCTGTCGTCACCATCATCCCAATCCCCCTATTTTTACAAAGCTTTTCTCGAAACAACCCTGTGAGGTAGGTAGTTGGAGCAGCATTGCCCCTAATTACAGAGGGGAAAAGTAAAACTGGGGAAAGCCAAGGGCTCTGATGCTCAAGGGCACATAGCTGGTGAGCCAGGGCCTGGAGGAGAACTTGGGGGGCGGGGCCCTCTACCTTCGCACCCACTTTGGCCATACTGATTTACAAAGGCTTTTCCTCACTGTGGTGACATAGTCTTGCAGGTATTTTACCAAGGTGCAGACAAGGTCAGTCACTTGCCCAAGGTCACACCACTAGGGTTGGAGCCAAAATTTGAACCCAGAGTGCCTGAGTGGGCCAGATGACTTCTAAGATCCAGTCCTGAGTCTGCTGTCCTATGAATGGGTTCTTTCTACTTCATTCTTCACACTCCCCCAACCCCCCCACCCCGTCTCCCTCAGTCCTACTAGAGCCACTTCCTTGCCCCTTCCTGGTGCTCACTCCCCAGCCATGCCCCCACCCCCACCTCAAGCCATAGAGGTTATTCTGTTCTTTGTTGAGAGGCCTTGCCCCTTACCCTGTTCCCACTGAGTTCCTTGCTACGTTGGCTACTATTTTTTCACCTGGAGCTCATTCTCCTGCACTCTGGATTCCTCGAGGACCCACAGTCCTATTTTTGGTGAGACTTGCTTCCCTGCTCCCTGTTCATTTCCCAGGGCTCCCTATGGCTTTGAAGTTTGCTCGCCGGCTCCTTGCCCTCCTCCCCTGGAGCTGCCTGTGATCTTGGGGCTCTCCTGCCCTGGGGCCCCCGCTGCTTTGTCACTCACAGGCTCCACAGGTCGGCCTGTTCACCATTGTACTTCTTGCTCATGAGGATCTCAGGGGCTGTGTAGGCCACAGAGCCACAGAATGTGCTCAGCAGAGAATTCTTCACTGCGGTCCGATTGGCAAAGCCGAAGTCTGAGGGGGCAGGGGCAGAGAGGAGGGTTTGGTGAAGATGACTCTGTACAATGAGGACATCTCGGGGATGAGGATTGGGAACAGAGGAGAGGCTGAAAAGGGGTTGCTTCACGGGGAGACAAATCTTCCTTGCCCTTCCCCGACATTTGTCTGTGTCAGAGACTCTGCCTTTGTGTGTCCTCGGCTGCCTTGTTAAGGCCCAGGCACCCCTTGTCCGAATATGTTTTTAAATTCATAAAATAAAATACAAAGGAAACCAATTATATTGAAGTAGTTTTCAAAATATTTCAGAAAGCTTGTTCATGGGCCCCGAGTTAAGAACCTCAGGTCTATGGCAAGGTCAAGCTCAGTGAACCTCGATGACAATCAGTAATGTTACTTGGAGACGTAGGAGTTTTAACCTCTGTCGGAGAGACTGTCACTGGAACTCAGCCTGGATGGGGCCTCCCAAGCCATCTCCGCTCAACCTCTGTCTGAAGGACAAGTCCTTCCCTAACGACTGGTCATCCAGTCTTTGCTTGAAGACAGCCAGAAGTGAGTAACCTCCAGAGGTTACTTTTCGTTGCATTCCACTTTTGACCAGTCTGTGCTTTATATTGTGACAGAATCCAGAGGGGAGAAGTTGTCTCCAAAGGGGAGAGGGAGGTGATTCTGGCAGGAATAGAAGAGCCTGGGTGGGAGGGGGCTCAGTCTTGAAAAGGCTGGGACAGGAGGAGGTTCTTACCAGTCAGCTTCACAAACCCTTGATCATCCAGCAGAATGTTCTCGCACTTGAGATCCCTGCCAAGACAAAGAGGAAGGGAGATGGAGGCCGTGGTAAGGTCGGGAGTTGGGTCCGGCTGGGACTCAAGAGGCCAGGGTCAATTAGGAGGGTTGGGCCTAAGACCAAGTGTCAGATCTGATGGAGGATAGAGTGGTATTTGAGCAGCTAGGTGGCGCCATAGTGCATAGGGTGGCAAACCTGGGGTAGGAAGACTCATATCTGAGTTCAAATCCAGCCTCAGACATGTACTAGCTGTGTGACCCTGAACGAGTCACTTAGTCCTATTTGCCTCAGTTTCCTCGTCTGTAAAATGGCAAACCACTCCGGTATCTTTGCCAAGAAAACTCCAAACAGGATCACAAAATGTTGAATGTAACCAAACAACAACAGAGTGGTGTCAGGGCTGGGGCAAAGAATGGGGTAGGATCTGGGATCAAGATTTTCCACTTCTATGCTCTGGTCTGTCCTCTGACATCTCCCCTGGGGACTTAGCCCTACCAATTAGCCCCTCTCATCTTCAGTCTTTCTTTGAACAATGTCTCCTTCCCCAATATATAAAATTGCCAGTGTAATCTTCTCGAGGCACAGTTCTAACCATAACACTATTGCCCTCAAACCTTCTATTACTCCCTATTGCCTATAGAATAAAGAATAAACAGAGGGGAAAAGTGAAACTGGGGAAAGCCAAGGGCTCTGATGCTCAAGGGCACATAGCTGGTGAGCCAGGGCCTGGAGGAGAACTTGGGGGGCGGGGCCCTCTACCTTCGCACCCACTTTGGCCACTTTGGCCATTCTGTTTCCCTCCATTTAGCAGCTGCCCTTAGGATTGTTGGGAGGAGTTAAGAGGTTAGCAAAGTGCCCAGCATGTAGCAGGCACTTACTGTGTGCTAGGTACTTTGCTAAGTGATTTACAATTATCTCATTTGATCTTAACAACACTGGGAAGCAGGTGCTATTATTATCCCCATTTCACAGATGAGGAAACTGAGGTTAAGTGACTTGCCCAGTGTCACACAGTAAGTGTCTGGGGCCAGATTTCAATGAACTCAGGTCTTCCTGACTCCAAGTCAAGACTCCCTTTTCCCTATCCCCCCCCCCATTTAAAGCCTTCCACAATCTTGCTCTAACTCATCTTTTCCGTTTATTTCATAAACCTCATCTTCTTATGCTCTGTGTTCCAGCCAAAATAGGCCATGAGCTTAACATTCCATCAGCCATCTTCATGCACTCAAACAAGCTGACTGTCTTCCTCCTGCTCTCCACCCTTCTGAATCCTTAGCTTCATCAAGGCTCATTTCAGACATCATCTCCTCCAGGAAGCCTTTCCTGATTTCCCCTCTACCCTCCTACGTTGGTTTGTGCTCCCTGAACCCTTTGTATTTACTTATCTGTATACATGGAGGATCCCCACCACAAGACACTGTAAGATCCTTGACCAGAGATTATTTTGTTTTTATCTTTGAAATTCTTAGCACCTGGCATAGTGTGAGCACATAGGTGAGCTCTTAAACGTTGTGGACTTGAGGGCTGTGGCAGAATCTGGGCTTAAGGCAGAGGGTAGACTCTGGGGCAGAGTGAGGTCAGCGTTGAAGATGACCAGGATGCTAAAGCTCCTTGGGCTGGGAGAGGGTCTGGAGGGAGGGAAGCCATGGTCTGGGACTCTGGAATCCAGGTTGGTCCATGGAGCCTGGGTCAGAGTGTGTGTTGGGGTGGGGGAGCAGCTGAGGGCAGCTCTCTGGGGCTCCCTCACCGATGAACAATGCCCACGTTGTGGCAGTGGGCCACAGCACTGACAAGCTGTCGGAAGAGCCTTCTGGCCTCCTCCTCCTCCAGCCCAGGGCAGCAGCGCCGATCCGATGTGGCATTGATGTGCTCCAGCAGGTCTCCTCGGGATGCAAGCTCCAGAACAAGGTATGAACGCTGGCTGTTCCGATACGTCTCATAAAGCTGAATCTGTTCCCCAGGGGACATCCATCCTCCTTAGCCCCACCCTGGGCATACTTCTAGGAGGCAGGGCTTAACTTGGGCGAGACAAAGAGACGGAGGGGGGCCAGCCCAAACCCCAAGTGTTAGAGGAGCTGGGGTGGATTGGAGAGAGGAGGTGGCTGGTCAGGTCTGAGAAGGGGCCCTTAGGGGCGGAAGTGAGGATGTGGTGGCTTCCCAAGAGCTGGACCCCTGGGAGACGGGAAATCAGTGTGAAAGGGATCACAGTCCCTCCTCCTCCCCTCCCTGTGCCCCATCCCTAGCTCACCACATTGAGATGCTTGTAGGTAGCATTAAGTGAGTAGATCTCTCGGGGAAGGAACTTCCGGGAGTACTCTAAGGGGGCTTCAGCTGTAGATATTATCTTAATGGCCACCTGTTGGGGGAAGGAGGTGCTATGAAGGAAATTGTATAGAATAGGCCACCCAGGACCTTGGAACAGGGTCTGTCCTGCCATCCTGAGATCAGCAAGCTCTCAGGGAAGAGCATTCTTAGTGTTCTCAGTCCATATTGCAGTGCCTGGCCCATAGTAAGTACTTAATAAATGTTTGTTGACTGACTGACTGATAAGAGGGAGAGACAGGACCTGCCCTTGTGAAACCTTGTACCCTCCATCCTATTCCTAGTCTTGCTTTCAGGGGCTGCCTGGGACAGGTAGAACCCCCTTTCCTCTCGACAATCTTCAGATATTTGAAGGTGGCTCTCATGGCCCCTAAGCCTTCTCTTTCCCACATTAAACACCCCCAGGTCATAGGATTTAGAGGTAAAAGGAACCTTAAGAGATCAAAACCCCTCATTTTACAGATAAAGAAACAAGAGGCCTGGAGAGATAGTTGGAAAGAGTTGCCCAAAGAAACACAGAAATAGTAACAAAGGTGGAATTCGAATGTGGTCCTTATCTCCCCAAGTCCAGGGTTCTTTCCACTCTAGCCTGCTACCTTTCTCCTCCTAGGCAGCTAGGTGATGCAGTGGATAGAGAGCTGGGACTGGAATCAGGAAGGCCCGAGTTCAAATGCAGCCTTAAAAACTTATTAGTTCTGTGACCCTGAGCAAGTCAGTTACTCCTCATCTGCCTTATCTGTAAAATGGGGATGATAGCATCTACCATACAGAAATTGCTTTGCAAACCTTACGATGCTATGTAAATACTAGCTACCACTTGTTCTTTCTAATACTTTCTTCCATCTAGAAAACCCTTCCCATGTTTTAAGACAGTTACCATGTCCCTCCTAAGCCTTCCCATCTTCAGGCTAAGTCAAGTATAGTTCCTTAGTTTCCAGTCCCCCTGCCAGGTTGGTCGCTCAATTCTGAACATTCTCCAGCTTGTGCAGTGTTCTTTGTATAATGTGGTTTCCAGAACCAGGCATGTTGCCTCAGATGGGACCTGAGCAAGCAGAGTGAGACTCACCTCCCTCTCTTAGGACACCTTAGTTTTCAAGTCTAAATGTCCTGCATTATTGTCATCTGTTAGCCCACTTCTAGGCACCTGGTAGCCCAGAGTAAAATAGTGGCTAAATGGACTTGAGTAGAATATAGGTAGGGCAGCTAGGTGACACCATAGTGTACCGAGCACTGGGCCTGGAGTCAGGAAGTCTCATCATCCTGAGTTCATATCCGGCCTCAAGACACTCACTAGCTGTGTGACCCTGGGCAAGTCACTTAATCCTATTTGCCTCAGTTTCCTCATCTGTAAAATGAGCTGGAGGAGGAATTGGCAAACCACTCCAGTATCTTTGCCAAGAAAACCCCAGATGGAGTCACGAAAAGTCACAACTGAACAACGAGAACATAGGGACATGATTGCTGCCTTTAAGTGTCCGAAGGTTTGTCCTACAGAAGAGGGCTCAGACTGGGTCTGCTTGGTCTGAGGAGGACTGAAGTACAAGAAATGAATGGGTGAAAATTGCAGAGAAGCAGACCATCATGCTGAAGGAAAAAAAGGACCACTTAAATTAGTGGGTCCCCTAGTTCTGGAGTACTTCAAGTGGACACTGGATGGTGTTGAGAAAGCAACACGAGGTATTCCTGCTCTGTTTGAATTAGATGGCCCATGAGATGGCCCTCCCTGCCTGTTCTGGAGATTCTGTGAGAAGAGTCAAGCCCCAATGGAAGCCTGGGCTGGGTTTATCAATAGTGCTGTCCCCTCTTCCCCACTCCCATGGCCGTTCATTCTATGTCATCCCACACTTCCCGTCCCCCAGCCACCCACCATAGTGTGGCGCTTGGCTCGCAGGTCAGAGGACAGCTTGTAGTTCTGACGCATTCTCTCATGAGTGGCGTAGCCCAGGTAGACTTTGGAGAAAGCTCCTGAGCCGATCTTCTTGGAGGACAGCAGGTAGCCGTTGTCCCAGCACTCGCGCACCTGATCCATGAATGCCCGCCGGTTTGAATCTCGCTTAGTGCTACTCTTCATGATGGGGCTAGAGGTCCAGGGGAGATGGGGCAGTGGGCAGGCTCACCTGGTCATGGAGAGAAACAGGGGGCTGGGCAGCACAAACTCCTACAGAGAGA